GAGAGAGAGAGAGAGAGAGAGAGAGTGTGGTTGATGCTGCGGTAAGTCGACTATCACTTGAAACCAACCTGTTTGGAGCATAAATTGGGCGTCATCAAAATTGATGGCCGAGCTGTCGCGTGCAAAACCGGGAGCTATTGGTTGCGCTCACAAACCAATCTGGGCGCTCAATCGATACAAAGCGTTTTATTAGGTGACTTTCGACGGCTACATCACTCGTGAGCACTTGTCTGTGTCTGCTGGTCTGCGTCATCTGTAAAGCGACAAAAACGAACCCGGCATAACCCGCATGTTCTTCCGATCACTTCCGTTGAGGACACGGAAGTGCATATTTCCATGAGTTATGATTATTGTAAATACAAGCAAATGCATGTCTAACCACCAAGATATTGTTACGGTATAGGAAATAGCATGCTATTATGCCAAGTTAATTCTGAAACATGTTGTGCCCTTAGTTAGACAGGAGACGTTCTGTAACTTCCAAACTATAGCTGGATACAGTAGCAATTCTATAGCTAGCCTGAAGACGGTAAATGGCACTACCTTGGGAGAGAAAGGCACGTTAACTGTTGAACTTATCATGCAGAAAGACGGTACCCTGGGTCTGTGCATTGTCTATCGAAAGCTACACCCAGTGACTACAAGAGAGGCATATGGTAGTCATAATCGAAATCGGTGATCGAACTGCCATCTAGCTGATTCTATATCGTCACTGTAGTTTGCCACTTACTTGTTTTAGCAAGTATGATTACTAGAACTAGCACTTCTCACAGTAGTATCCTGGAAAAATGGCAAAATCCGCTCCGTTACGACCTAAATGCATGGTAGATCCCGTAGATATGCTCCCATGCAAGGAGGATTTTACACCGTCAGTACAGGCCTACTCGCTTGTCAGCGTCTGATAAGCTGCCCTTGACTTGATGACAATGGTAAAGCACACTTAATGAGGCAGGTTCTTGTCCAAGCGATCGCATCTACCTCTTCTCAGTCACAGGTACAAAAAAGCATTTGTGCAGATTAATATGGAACTTCCTATTTTGTAGCAATATATTTACCTTAACTTTAATATTTTTGGGCACAGTTCGAAAACCACGCACTGACCCATGATAGCGCGTACAACCAAAATAGAAGCTAGACTTCAGCTTGCAACGAATATTCAGGAAATTTGTCACGCTTGGCTTTGGCGATGTGGCGATCCTACACTGAGGAAGTTCAAAGACCCGGTGACTCCCACTAGGGTTATTTGTGTCTTCGATAACAGTAAGAACGAACGGCGCAGAGATCTGCTTGCGGCCTGCCACGTCTTACGTCAATACCTACAAAAAACTAATGATAGGATGGCCACAATGGACTTTGGGGGAGGAAAAGAGACGGCCTGACGGAGAGTCAGTTAGCCCTCAGGCCCACTACCCTTCGTCAGCGTAACGACAAGAAACGCAGACAGATCATCGCAATCGCTAGGGAAGGAAAAAGTCCAGATTAATTTACTGTCTTAGGGCCGATAAAAAGCAAGCCTTTTGATTTGTTCCGATCACTTTTGTGCGCAGTAATCGCTTAGCCAATGATTCAGTTATGCGCAACGTAGAAGATTAGTTTCAGCCAACACCTCGGCCCTCTTATATGGCCGACTTCTTGATTCTTAAAGGCCAGGGCCAAAAATCCCGGAACCTCATCTAGCTTTGTAGTCCTCAAAGGGACATTGGTAGCTATCCATCGTGGGGCCGCCAAATTTCAAAAGCTCCCTGACCAAGTTTCTTACGGAAATCTTGATTAGTGGTTTAATGCTTAATTAAGGCGTAGGTAACGCGTGATAAATGCACAGTAGAAAATAAACTAAAGCCGCTTGTAATTGTTTTACAGAACTAAAAATAGATGTGTGGAAAGCATGCAGAAATAAGAGCATCGACCAATATAAACTCCCATTGGTCAGCAAAGGATGCCTATAGAGCAACAAAAATATTAGAACAACTCCTATTGGTTAATATAATAAGGGAAGTGTTTGGAAAGGCAGAAGTTTGGCCTATGGAAAATTTGTAAGAAAGTGGTTATTGATCCCCCCCAAAAAAAATCGGACGTTATTTTTTCTTTTTTTTTCACCTAAACCCCACACCTTCCCCCCACAAGAGCGACAGTTTTTCTCCTAAAAATCCCTTAGGAGTTTTTTTCACTGTCTGCTCTTATTTTTCCACCCCATGACTCAGGACAACTGGCCTCGCCAACAGTCTGAGATACAATTTTTCTGCTACCACTACACATATGTACAAATAGGGCACTCAAAGGTAATTTACCTACATATCCCTCAATATACTGATACTGAAGCATTGTTTTCCCGGAAGAAATATTTACATGGCGAGGCCTACCAGATTAGCAGAACTTAATGACGTCATAAATTTCGATCTA